AGTGTGTTATAACTTCAGCATACATTAACTGATCTTGATGAAACTTCAGCAGTGTGTTCACTGTAAGAGGCTGATTACATGGATGTGACTATTGTGAGTCAAAGTTATAGCGCCACCAACTGGCAGCAGGAAGTGTGTCACTTTCAAAATGCTTTGATATCACCTCTTATTTTTAACCGATTTGCTTCAAACTTCATCTGTATAATGTAAAAATACAGCAGATGTAGACCTGTGAATGGATTCTTGATATCTTTGATACTGTTGCTGTGGCAACAAATCAAACTTTAACATTCTTTTTGATACTTTTGGGACTCTTAGCATGCTTGAAATTGCTTGAAACAGATAGATACAGATAGCTCGACAGATACATCACATTTATTAGCCAGTAGGCATGTGCAACTTTGGCAAAAGATTAAAGTAATGTCAAAAAAGTAAACACTAAAAGCCTCATATCTTCTAAAAATGTAATTATACATCATTTGTTTCTAAATTAAATTATACAAATATTATAATTAAAGCAGTTTTTCCCTTTTTTCATTTAAGAATTATGTTTACGTTCAAAAACAGCCAGGTTGTAAAATTCAGAAGAAGAAAAAATAATCTGAGTCATACGTAGTGCTATACTGCCCTCTTGTGTTCAATATCAGTTAGGCCTATTGTGTATATTCCCACCGGTTAATCAACGTGTGACTCCGCTGGGACTCGGGAACTTTTAAATCGCTTACTTAAAACCGAAAGTCAAAATACAGATATCCGCACAAGACATTAATGTTGTGGAGTAGAGCAAGCATTTTAAATAAATTCCTATTAAGTAGGATTGAACTAAACAGAATGAACGTTCACTCTGTTCTGCTGGTTCCTCGCTGTTGGCGCGCACAGTTATGAATGCTTGTGCAGCCATGAGTTTTAGTTTAATTTTAAAATTAGCGCAATTTCGGGATTTGTATTATTTGAATTTATTTTTAAAAAACACAATGTTGAGTTTTATTGTAACACTGTTTAATCGCGCCCACGGTTATATTTTGTATATTATATATAATTATAATGTATTTCTGTATAAAATAATACTACAATAAAAAACACATTTGTGACCGACCTGATCCAGCAAAATTAGTCACAGTGACCCAAATTTAAAAATTGAGATTTTGATATTAATGAAAAGAGGACACTGTAAGCTTTCAAATGATACCTTGGTCATACCTTGAATGGTTGTAAAGATATACAGATTTGAATTCTGGTCGTCTGCCCTTTTTTTCCAATTGAAAACCTAAGAAAATCGCTTTAAAATTTTTTTTGCCCGTTTTTTTTTTTTTTTTTTTTTTTGATATCTTTCAAAATCCATAGCATTTTAAGGGATAAACTATTTATTTTATATAGCTTAATTTGACCAAATAGATTAACATATATAAATGCAATTTAACGAGGCTGAAACTCAACTTATTTTTAATTTTTTTGAAATAAATAATTAAAAAGTCACTTTTACAAAAATGTTCTAAAATCAGAAAGATTGAAGAGGAGTCAGAGAGAAATTCAGTTTTCATACGGATTAGCCCACATAAGCAGAGAGCAGTCTGTTTTCTTTCATTTTGAATGGTTGTCTTTAAAAGTAGACATTTCAATATATATGTCTGTGAGGATACCTTATACGCTGACTTTCGGTTCATGAGACAAGCTTCAGTTCACGTGCCGCGCGTCTCCGCGTCGTGATTAGGCCTAGCCTATTGTCTGCAATTTATTTCTTATTATTAAATCCTAGTAATTGGTTGATGAAACATTGATTTAAATTAAGATAATTATTTTAAAACGAAATTTACTTTAAAGAAAGGCTTTGTGCTTGCATGTTTAAGCTATGTGAAAGTTTTAGTGCTGCTTCCAGAGAACGGTCACGTTCGGATTGTTTTTCCTCATAAATGCGAACACGGAAAATAAAATAAAGATTTTATGTTCTGGAGAGAGTCAACCCTTCTTCATCCGGTGAGTATTACTTTTTGTTTGTGCAGTGTGGTTCACATAGGCCAATTTATTAAAATATTTAATTATCTGGGAATTGGATCTCCTCCATAATGCTGAAATTGCCCAATTTTAAAAAAATTAGTAATAATTTAAGTTTTGTGGTGTATTTTATAATGTTAACTTCAAATAATACTAATAGTAATTTTAAAGATGTTGTAAGCATTGGGTCTGGACGTGAAGGATAACTTCGGGAGTTGAAGGGACGTGTCGGTGTCGTGATTCTGTCTTCTCACACCGCGACACAGGTTCGTGGATCTGAGTGTCGCGATCGTTACAGCCTTACATAGGCTATATTCTTCTTGCAGATAAATATACTCACGCAGTTTAGGTTAGAAGCCTCCAGTGAGTTCAACGTTTCAGGGGATACCCGGGAAATGCTCAGAGGTGACGAGGGGAGTTGAGAAGAGCAATGTTTATTTCAGCGAATTTAAAGCTTTGACAACTTTAATCGTTATTTAAATACCTTTACTCAATTATCTCGACTACGAAACCCTGTGAGATTATTTTTGAATGTCTGTTCTTTGAAATTAGCAAAAATATATATATATATTTTTTTTTTGTTATTTCATGGTTTTTCCACATAATCGGCCCATATCTTAAAATGGAAGGTTGCAACTTCCGACTCATTTCGCCAGAGCGGGTCACATTTGATTTTTATTTTTTAAACAATGTAATGTGTAACCTAAAAATAAACAGATTATTTGATAAATGGTATATTTAAATCTGCATATTGTAGCCTAATATCTGCAGGGCAGCCTAGTCTTAATAAATCTATGCTTCATTTTTCATTAGTAAATTTAATCAATAAATTCAATAATTTAGAATAATAAGACACTATAGGGCTGTTACCCTAGGTAAGGCTGATCAAATTAAATCGGTTACACAATAATGTTACGAGATTGGTTTAACAGGAGTCAATTAAAAATCGCTGTAAAGAACGATACTTTTAAACATAACCCTAAATCACCATAAGGTGTCACCAGATGACCGTCTTAATGAACGAGTCATGGATTCAAAATGCTGAATCATTCAGTAATGAGAAAACACATTGCTTTGAGATGCGCGATGGGTCGCTGTGATCTTTGTTTAACTATTTTCTCTGCTGAAACAGAAAAAAGTCAATATTGCATTTAAAAAGTCAATATTGCATCTAAAATGTAAGTGACTTGACTTGTGTGTGTGACTATGTTTGTTGTAGTGATAAGAGTTGCACCCTTGTTAAAGTTTAAGGCCTTGTGTTTTTGGATATATATCTTTCTTTCTTTTTTTTTCCCTTTTTTTACAAAATATGCATATAACCCATATATTTTAGATTTATTATTTGCTTTAAATTAAATTAAGATTGTATTTTTGGTAATTGAACCTGAATGAATTTAAAAATGAATGTGCTATATTTCAGATCATATATTTGTTTTTCTTAAAATTTGAACTAACTTTATTCTCAGCTGAATTATAAATATTTTATTTCTGTATGAATTAAAAACACATTTGATTTTTCTTTTTTAATCAATGTAGAATGTGTAACTGAAATATAAACAGATTAGGGCTCTGTTCGAGGACAAGTAACTAAAACCAATTATTAGCCAGTAGACATGTGCAAAGTTTCAGAAACGGGCATGGTGCAAGGACTAAATAGCGCCACCTTTTGACAAAAGTGGGGTTGTTAGTTTTATCTACAGTTACAAAAATCGGTATTTACATTGTACTCCTCAAGCCGGACAACTTTCTATTACATAGTCATTAGCTCGGACCAAGAGGAAGTCAGATATTTTGGTTTGAATATGGTGAGCCTCTCTCTGTGCCTACGTCCCTGTATGGCAAGCCCTTTTAACATTTAAAAGCTAAGTTTGCCTATCCGGAATTAACATTGTAGATATCAACAACGTCTTTCTGTCTATTCGTAATTACATTTTGGATAGTTTGTATTATCATTTAAGATATCTGTAACATAGTTGTGACTAGTCGAAATGACAGAGTATGGCAAGCCGTTTTAACATTTAATCATAAAAGGGCCAAAGCTTTCGGCACCGCCACCCGGGTGCCTTTAGGTAACTAAAGGAACCGGGGTTGCGGTGCCACCGGCTTGGGCCCGCCATCGCTGCTCGCAGCTATATTTTGAGTTTGAGACCCCTGCTCTATATTGATGTATTAATAATCATTATATAAAAAAATTATGGTGATTTATCATTATTATTATTATTAACTGTTTTTATTACATTAGTATTATAGCTATAATAAAATATGTATTTATGAATTTAATTGTATTAATTTAATCATAATAAAAATAATAAAACATTTTTAGTAGTATTTCTGCTATAGTATTATATTTATTTAATTGTATTCATTTAATAATTTATTTTAATTGTTGTAATAATAATAGCAATAATATTTTTTATTACAGTAGTATTACTGCTATAGTAAAATATTTATGCATTTAATTATATTAATTTAATCATAACATAAAAAATAAATGATTATTAGTAGTATTTCTGCTATAGTAAAATATTTATTGATTTAATTGTATTAATTTAATAAAAATATTGTTTTTGTATTTTATTACATTAGTATTATAGCTATAGTAAAATATGTATTTATGAAATTTTATTGTATTAATTTAATCATAATAAAAATAATAAAAGCTTTTTAGTAGTATTTCTGCTATAGTAATATATTTATTTAATTGTATTCATTTAATAATTTATTTTAATTGTTGTAATAATAACAATGATATTTTTTTATTACAGTAGTATTACTGCTATAGTAAAATATTTATGCATTTTATTAAATTAATTTAATCATAACATAAAAAATAAATGATTATTAGTAGTATTTCTGCTATAGTAAAATATTTATTTAATTGTATTAATTTAATAATTGGTTTTAATTGTAGTAGTGATAATAATAACAATAATATTATTTTTTATTATAATAGTATTACTGCTCTAGTAAAACATTAATTGCTTGAACACAATGTGTTTGCCGTCTAGGTTTCCGCATCTGTTGTGGAGTGGGAGAGTTTTGAAGACCATGTTGGACATCCTGCAGACTCTCTCTCTGTCGCTGAGCGCCGTCAGTACAACACACACACACACACACACACGTGACCGATATAACTCACATGTCATTCACTTATCCTGACCTCATGTTAAACAGGATATTCACAAAGATCAGCCGTACTACGACATTCCCGACACGCCGTACAGGATAACGGTCCCGGACACGCACGAGGCGCGAGAGGTGAGACGGGCGTCCGAGACGGGAACGTACTCACGATCAGGTCCAGTGTTTTGAAATGTTGTTTGTTGTCCAGAGCATCGTGAAGGACTTCGCCGCTCGCTGTGGAGAGATCTTGAAGGAGGCCATGAAGTGGGCCGCCTCCGTCACCAAGTCTCATCTCCAGGTGAGCTCACACACACACACACACACACACACACTATACACTAGGGGTGTGATTTCGATTTCGATTCTGCTTATCGATTCCAATAAGGTAAAAAAAAAGATTCCATTCACATTTAGTCTTATTGTACCTGAATATCATGAACAAAAATCAAGCGGCTAAAGAACACTTACACAAGGAACGTTTTCCTGTGGTTTAAAAAGCCTAACTAATATACATTTCAAGCATTAAAGACAAGTAAACACTCAAAAAAAAAAATCAAAACTAAATAAAAATAAGATTTAAATAGTGTTTTAAGATTTTCGGGTACAGAAAATGTAATCATAATGTAAAATAACACTGCACTTTATAAATAAAACATCCAAAATAAAAGTTTGTGTTTACATAATATATGTGTGTGTGTAGTGTGTATAATTAATTTGTATATATAAATACACACACAAGAAATATTTGCATGTATATACATTATATATATTTACACATAATTAATATTATATATAAATATAAATATTTGATATATTAATAACACATTTTTCTTAAATATACACATACATGTGTGGGCATTTATATATATACAAAATAATTATACACACTACACACATATATATTATGTTAACACAAACTTTTATTTTGGATGCGATTAATCATTGCCCATCCCTACCTGCATTTTACTGTTAAAAGACACAAGTGTTAATAATTTGGGAATACAGTCAGGAGAGACTTTCTTTTTAAAATTAATTTATTATCTATTCAAATTGAAGGATTTTACCAAAAAATATATTTATTTCATATGCTGGAATATGTATGAATTTAAGTGAACAGAGGGACTTTCTTTATTTCATTCAAATATGGTGCAATGTGCAGAAAATAGGTTTAAATGTTAAACAGTTTTCTGTTGCATTTAATTTAATTTTTGCTGTGTGAATAAAGTTCAAATATTGAAACAAGTTTAAAAAAAGAGAATGTTTCATTTGATTACATTTTAGATGATGGAATATGCAGAAAGAATAGAATTAGGCTGAAAGGTCTATTGCTTTAGCGAATTCAGTTCGTGCGTCATGTTTTTGAAAAGTAACTAGTAAAGGAACTGGATTACATTCTTGGAGAAGTAATCAGTAATAGGGATGGGCAACGATTAATCGCGATTAATGGCATCCAAAATAAAAGTTTATGTTTATATAATATATGTATGTGTAGTGTGTATAATTAATTTGTATATATAAATACCCACACATGCTTGTATATATTTAAGACAAATGTGTTATTAATATATCAAATATTTATATATATAATATTAATTGTGAATAAATATATATAAAATATATACATGCACATATTTCTTAAATATATACAATACATGTGTGGGTATTTATATAATTAATTATATTAAAATTTATATTATATTTAAATAAATTAATTATACACACTACACACACATATATTATGTAAACACAAACTTTTATTTTGGATGCGATTAATCACGATTAATCGTTGCCCATCCCTAATCAGTAATCAATAACCAATCACTATTTCCAAGTAACTTGACCAACACTGGTGTGTGTGTGTGTGTGTGTGTGTCAGGAGTATCTGAACAAGCATCAGAACTGGCTGTCGGGTTTGTCTCAGCACACGGGTCTGGCGATGGCGACCGAGAGCATTCTCAGCTTCGCGGGATACAACCGTCAAAGCACCACGCTGGGGGTGAGAGAACACACGTCACACACACACACACACACACACACACTCGTCCCGAGGGTAACCGATGCTGTGTCTTACGGTAGATGGTTACTGAGATGGTAACTGAGGTGTTTGGGCAGATGAAGGTAAGACGGCGGTCGGTCCTCGGAATAAAAACTCAATCACCTTAGAAAGAAGATTTATTATTTATGATTTATGACTCATGCTCAAAATACATGTTGAAATCACTAAATTCACAAACTGATTGACAGAACATCTGGAAATGTATATAATATTAACATGATCACATTTCACAGATTATTGATGTTGTATTTATATGGCTCTCTCTTCATAATGCACATTGTTTCAAAGCAGCTTTGAAGATCATATTCGCAGTAATAATGTATTAAATATTATGTAAATTGCATGTGTGCAATGACTAGCTGCATTTACTAGTGTTCAGTATAACACTGTATTATGCACTATATCCCACAATGCACTGCAAATTTGACCTTAATATGGACTATAATGCATTATAAACATTCTTAGAAACGGTGTGTGTTGTGAAGAGCGTTACACACATTGTGCTTTTCACAGTGTGCTGCTTAAAACTAACCAGATATGAATTTAAATGTGAGCTATAATAGTAATGATTCATGCAGTAAGACTTTATGAATATTCATTAGCACTGTTGTGTTCATGTCATGCCTGTTGTGTTGGTCTTTGTATGTCATTCTCCAGCATGTTTGCGTATCATTTGTCATTCTCTTTGTTTGTGCCGTTACCTCATTGCGTCTCTGCTAACTCATCTGTGTGTGCGCTGTGATTGGGTGGCCCTGGGTTTGGTGGGTGTGGCCTGCCGTGTGTCCCTCCCCCTCGTCCCAGGCAGCTTTTCCTCAGGTTGGTACTCTAGTTGAACTCTTGTTCCAGTTACAGACCCATATATGATTGATCACTCACAGCAGTGGAGGTCAGTGTAGTCCCACTGATGCTCTATAGGGACGAGGAGGTCCTGGCCTTTACTTCTAGGACTAGCCAGGAATGTGCACTGGTAATGTTTGCGGCTGAAGAGACCGAATCGGTTCCTTCATCCTCAGGTTACCCAGCTGACGGAGCGACCCACCTGTGTGAAGAAGGATTACTCCAACTTCATGGCGTCGCTCAACCTGCGGAACCGCTACACCGGAGAGGTGAGCGCAGTCCATAGGGTGTATTTATTTATTTATTTATATTTGTGTGTAGAATTTTTAGTTGTCTGTTACGCTTCCAATGATTCTGTCAATGTAAACCCATTCCAACACAAATTTCCCCTTGGGGGACAATAAAGTGCATTGCATTTCTTCAACATTTCATTTCATTATTTCATTTAATTTCTTCATTATTTCATTTCATTATTTCATTTCTTCATTTCATTTTCTTTTCTTCATTATTTCATTTCATTATTTTATTTTATTTAATTTATTCATTATTTCATTTCTTTATTATTTTATTTCATTATTTCATTTCTTCATTATTTCATTTCTTCATAATTTCATTATTTCATTTCTTCATTTCATTATTTCATTTCTTCATTATTTCATTTCATTTTCATTTCATTTTTTTTATTATTTCATTATTTAATTTCATTTCTTCATTTCATTATTTCATTTCTTCATTATTTCATTTCATTATTTCATTTCATTTCATTATTTCATTTCTTCATTATTTCATTTCATTATTTCATTTCATTATTTCATTTCTTCATTATTTCATTTCTTCATTATTTCATTTCATTATTTCATTTAATTTAATTTCTTCATTATTTCATTTCTTTATTATTTCATTTTATTTCATTATTTCATTTCTTCATAATTTCATTTCATTTCATCATTTCATTTCTTCATTATTTCATTTCTTCATAATTTCATTTCATTTCTTCATTTCATCATTTCATTTTTTCATTATTTCATTTCATTATTTCATTTCTTCATTATTTCATTTCTTCATTTCATTATTTCATTTCTTCATTATTTCATTTCTTCATTTTCATTTCTTCATTATTTCATTTCTTTATTATTTAATTTTATGATTTCATTTCATTAGGGTGTTGGTAAGTGAATCTCATGCAAAATAATCCAAAAATATCTTATGTTTTTATAAAGAAAATCTTTATTATTTATTTATTAATTTTAATTTAATTCATTTAAATATTTATTTGCTTTGTGACATAAATAAGAAATAACATAGTCTTATTATTTTCTATAAAGCAAGTCTATTTTTAGGGCCAATTATTTTAGGACCAATATATTTGTTTTATTTATTAATTTTAATTTTAATTCATTTTTTGTTACATTTTTTTTTTTACATGAAAGTCTATTTTTAGGGCCAAAAGGAATATATATATATATATATATAGCTTTTGCATTATGAGGAAAATGTGCTTTATTGTCACATAAATAATATCAAAATGCAAAAAATCTTTTAAACTGTTTTTAAATGGGCTTCATTTTCAATACTTCTTTCATTCTTGTTTTTGAGGTGAAATATGACTTGGACATGTTTATGTGTCCGTAATGCAAGAGCAGAGCATTTGATGGTGTGTGTGTGTGTGTTGAGGTGGCTGGGATGCTGCAGTTTGCCGAGGCGACACACAGCGAGTCGAACCCCAGCAAACTGATGATCTCTCAGATGAGCGACGCTCTGGACGCCAAAAACTCTGACGCCTTCATGCAGAACATGTTTAAGATGACCGCTCTGTTCATCAGCACTAAAGGTAGCGCACACACACACGCCGTCACACAGGCCGTATCGACTCCATGATGTTTTTCGTGACACACACGAACGCCTCTGTCCCAGACTGCGATCTCCAGCTGCTGCATCACCTCTGCTCGTCTCCGCTGAAGATGTTCACGGAGCAGGGCATGGAGACGGCCATCGCCTGCTGGGAATGGCTTCTCGCCGCGCGCAGTGGAGCTGAAGTCCAGGTACCGTTAAACTAGCTGTGATTTACTCACCCTGGGTGTGTATGACAGTCTTCTTTCAGTTAAAAAATAAAAAATTCCTGGCTCTTCCCAGCTTTATAATGCCAGTGAATGTGTTTTTTTTTTTTTGTGTGTGTGTACCGTGAAACTTCAAGTAATAGCTTTTATTTTCCCATATCGCTGGGAAGGGCCAGGACATGTTTTAATAAAACTCAGATTGTGTTGGCTTTAGGGTGAGTAAATCATGGGCTAATGTTCATATTGGGTGAACTATCCCTTTCACCCTTTCACACTGTGTTCATGACGTGTGTGTGTGTGTGTGTGTGCAGTTCATGCGTGAGATGGCGGACGCCTGGCAGATGACCATCAAGCTGAAGATGGGCTTGTTCTCGGAGACCGAGTCAGAGGCCGATCCTTTAGCGGCTTCAGAAGAGAGTCAACCCCTGCCTCGTCCACCCAACGTCACACCGCATTCACTCTGGATCGAGGTCTGGATTACTGCGTACTACTGCTCTTACGATATATGCAGAATATAGTATGCATAGTGTGTGTACATAAAACTGACTTGACTTTACACAGTGCTTTTCACATTGTTGTTAAAATCAATCAAATTTCTTGTGGTGTAAATCCAGTTTTTAATGTTGTTTATGTGGTGTGTTTAATCCGCTTTAACACACACCATGTGTAAGTTGATAAGTGGACAGCATTGCTGAGTATTTCCTCCTTAAAACTGCAGTGAAACAAAGACGGGCTCAAAAACACGCTTTGAAATCGTAGGGAAAAAAAACCGTTTAAATATGTAATTTTGGTGATCAAAGATAAGTTTTAAGGGATAAAGTTAGTGCTTTTTTAAAGAAAAATTTAAAAGGCATCTGTATTTTATCAACACCAAATTTATACACTGAGAAATTAATATTATAAATCAAAAATTTGTTTTATGTTGCATTATTATATTATTTTCTCGACTCACTATTATAATGTACTGTTAAATGCGTTCTTTGTTTAATTTTAATATTTTTATGAATCATTTTTATTTATTTTAATCTTGCTTAATCCATTCAATAGATTTAATAACTATTTTAATAAACCATTTTTAACATAAGAAAAAATATAATATAACAAAAGACATTTTTTTTTTTAATCTAATTCTTTTTTATTAAATTTTAGGGCTGTGCAAAAATTAATTGCGATTAATCGCATCCAAAATAAAAGTCTGTGTTTACATGATATATTTGTGTGTGCTGTATATAATATAAATACACACACACATGCATGTATATATTTAAGAAAATGTGTTATTCGTATATAAAATATTTATATTTATATAATATAGATTATGTATTTACTGTATATACATATACAGAATTTAAGCGCAAATAATTCTTAAATATATACATGCATGCATAGGTATTTATATATACAAAATAGTAATATACAGCACACACAAATACATTATGTAAATACAGACTTTTATTTTGGATGCGATTAATCGCGATTAATTTTTGCACAGCCCTATTAAATTATTTTATTTTAATTTAATTTCATCATCTGTATTTATTAGAATAATAACCATTTTAATCACATATGTATTTATTTTGCTGCTTTTTTTTACCATTTTCGGCTAGCTAAACATACAATGTATTGAGTACCACCATTTGAATAAAATATTGTATAAAATCGTATATACTATTTGTATAAAACAGTAGGCATTAGTTACTGTTTTGTATGTAATAAACTATTTCATTTTAAACACAGCCATCAAAGTGATCACACATCATTGCATTCCCCATATGAGTGATTTTTGCAGTGTGTGTGTGTGTGTGTGTGTTTAGTTCCTAGTGCAGAGATTTGAAATCGCGAAGTACTGCAGTGTGGATCAGGTGGAGATCTTCACGGTTCTCCTGCAGAAAGCCCTGTCCATCAGTGTCGGTGGACCCAAGAGCTGCCTGAACCGACACGTAGCCGCGATAGGACCCCGGTTCAGGTGAAACGCGTGTTTTACAGCATTTACACCATAAACTACAGTAGTCAACGTCAAAAAAGTTCATCAAAGTTGTCGGGTATTGCTCAAAATTCATGTATTACTTTAATGAAAGGTTTTGATCCACTTCAAATGTATTATTTGTAACTAGCTCATGTGCACATATACATTATAAATGGTCAAATTAGCATCATATGTAGCTACGAACACACCGTGAGCGCATTTATCCCAGAACACTGCATTATTTTGGTTTTTATATGTCATAAAAGCCGACCAATCAGGTTAGGTATCTTGATAGGCTTTATTTCATTATTTTATTATTTAATTTCTTTATTATTTCATTTCATTATTTCATTTCAATAGGTTGTTGGTGAGTGAATCTCATGCAAAATAATCCAAAAATATCTTTTTTTTTTTGATAAAGAAAGTCGTTATTATTTATTTATTAATTTTAATTTAATTCATTTAAATATTTATTTGCTTTGTGACCTAAATAAGAAATAACGTAGTCTTATTATTTTCTAAAAAGGATGTCTATTTTTAGGACCAATAAATTTGTTTTATTTATTAATTTTAATTCATTTTTTGTTACATTTTTATAAATTAATTTAATTAAATTTCCATGATGAAAGTCTATTTTTAGGGCCAAAAAGAATAAATAAACATATATATATATATATATATATATATATATATGCTTTTGCATTATGTGGAAAATGTGCTTTGTCACATTTTTTTGACATAAATAATATCAAAATGCAAAAAAATCTTTTCAACTGTATTTAAATGGGCTTCATTTTCATTCTTGTTCATGTATTCTTTCATTTAAAATTCATGTATTACTTCAATGAAAGGTTTTGATCCACTTTTGTAACTAGCTTATGTGCACATATACATCGATTAGCATCAAATCAGACCAGGAATAAAAAGTGTGTTGTATTTGTACACACATAAACACGTGTTGTTGTATGTAATTAGGCTCCTGACTCTTGGTCTGACTCTTCTGCATGCTGATGTTGTGACCAATGCCACCATCCGTAATGTCCTGAGAGAGAAGATCTACTCCACAGCCTTTGATTACTTCAGGTATTATGAGCATCCACGCCGGCGGGGGAAATGTGTAGCGTCTCGACTCGTGCAGCAAACCGAACGTGTTTTGTGTGTGTTTCAGTGTGGCTCCCCGATTCCCCACTCAGCCGGAGAAACGCCTGCGCGAAGACATCAGCATCATGATCAAGTTCTACGCGTGTTTGCTGTCGGATAAGAAGTACCTCACAGCCGTTCAGCTCGTCCCACCAGGTTAACACACATCATCGAATTTTAACCTAAAAAAAGAAAAGGTAATGGACATGTTCTGTGTTCAGTACCCATAAACCCTGTGTTTGCGCAGACCCTCAGGACGTGTCTGTGAACAGTCTGTCTGTCATGGCCGTGACGGACTCGAGGAACAGTCTAGACGCGGCTGTGGGATCCAGACAACAGGCCAATCAGGGCTGGATCAACACATACCCACTGTCCAGCGGACTCTCCACACTCTCCAAGAAATCAGGTACACACTCACACATTCATTATTTATTTCTATTTATGATTTGGCCCCCATAAAAATGGGGCACGGCGTGTGATTGTGACCGCATGTTGTTGTAGCACTTCCAGTCAAATGTTTGGCCACATCTGCTCACTCTTTAATCTGTCGTCCACATGTCAGAATAATAATATTGATGGAGTGACGTAAGAATCAAAACATGAGGAACAAATGCAACATGAAAAATATTACTTCACCATATGCCCTACTCGTATGAAATATTTTTGTAGGTCTGTCAAAGAAGACGAACAGAGGAACGCAGTTGCACAAATACTTCATGAAGCGCAGAACGCTCCTGCTGGCCCTGCTGGTGAGATTACAGTGATATAATGAAGAATATGTGTCTCTTTACTCCAGATATCATGACTTGTGTATGTTTTTAATTAGTATATGATTGAAACAATGTTATTTGTGGTTGTTAGGCCAGTGAGGTGGAGCGTCTGACCACCTGGTACAATCCTCTGGGCAGCCAGGAGCTCCAGATATCAGCAGATCAGTCTGTGGAAACCAGCATCGCCAACTGGAGGTCCAAATACATCAGCCTGACTGAGAAACAGTGGAAGGACAATGTTAATCTAGCGTGGAGCATCGCGCCGTATCTCGCCCTACAGCTGCCGGCCAGGTGAGAGAGTGCATGCATGACGTTTGCATTTATATTTTATGCATTTGGTGATTTGATTTTTTTATATTTTATGCATTTTATATTGTATGCATTTGGTGATGCATTTTATATTTTATGCATTTGGTGTTTCGTAGATTTTATATTTTGTGCATTTTATATTTTATGCATTTTATGTTTCATGCATTTGATGATGCATTTTATATTTTATGCATTTTATGTTTCATGCATTTGGTGATGCATTTTATATTTTATGCATTTGGTGATGCATTTTATATTTTATGCATGTGGTGATGCATTTTATGTTTCATGCATTTGGTGATGCATTTTATATTTTATGCATGTGGTGATGCATTTTATATTTTATGCATTTGGTGATGCATTTTAAATTTTATGCATGTGGTGATGCATTTTATATTTCATGCATTTAATGTTTCATTTTATATTTTGTGCATTTTATATTTTATGCATTTGGTGATGCATTTTAGATTTTATGCATGTGGTGATGCATTTTATGTTTCATGCATTTGGTGATGCATTTCATATTTCATGCATTTGGTGATGCATTTTATATTTTATGCATCTGGTGATGCATTTTATATTTTATGCATTTGGTGATGCATTTTAGATTGTATGCATGTGGTGATGCATTTTATGTTTCATGCATTTGGTGATGCATTTCATATTTCATGCATTTGGGGATGCATTTTATATTTTATGCATGTGGTGATGCATTTTATATTTTGTGCATTTTATATTTTATGCCTTTGGTGATGCATTTTAGATTTTATGCATGTGGTGATGCATTTCATATTTCATGCATTTGGTGATGCATTTTATATTTTATGCATGTGGTGATGCATTTTATATTTTATGCATTTGGTGATGCATTTTAAATTTTATGCATGTGGTGATGCATTTTATATTTCATGCATTTAATGTTGCATTTTATATTTTGTGCATTTTATATTTTATGCATTTGGTGATGCATTTTAGATTTTATGCATGTGGTGATGCATTTTATGTTTCATGCATTTGGTGATGCATTTCATATTTCATGCATTTGGTGATGCATTTTATATTTTATGCATCTGGTGATGCATTTTATATTTTATGCATTTGGTGATGCATTTTAGATTGTATGCATGTGGTGATGCATTTTATGTTTCATGCATTTGGTGATGCATTTCATATTTCATGCATTTGGGGATGCATTTTATATTTTATGCATGTGGTGATGCATTTTATATTTTGTGCATTTTATATTTTATGCCTTTGGTGATGCATTTTAGATTTTATGCATGTGGTGATGCATTTCATATTTCATGCATTTGGTGATGCATTTTATATTTTATGCATGTGGTGATGCATTTTATATTTTGTGCATTTTATATTTTATGCATTTGGTGATGCATTTTATATTTTATGCATGTGGTGATGCATTTTATATTTTGTGCATTTCATATTTCATGCATGTGGTGATGCATTTAATATTTTGTGCATTTTATATTTTATGCATGTGGTGATGGATTTTATATTTTGTGCATTTTATATTTCATGCATTTGGTGACTTGCATTTCGTTCAAGATCTACATGCATCTGATCATGCATTACTGTAATCAAACTCGTGATTTTGGCAGAGCTTCAAGAATGAATGCATTACTCTAATAATATGAAATGGTACTGAAACTGATATTTTCCAGGTTCAAGAACACCGAAGCCATTTTCTCAGAAGTGACCCGCTTGGTTCGGTTGGATCCGGGAGCGGTCAGTGATGTTCCTGAGGCTGTGAAGGTGAACATCCAGAATCCAACAGAAAGACATGAATGAGTAATAGACCTTAGTCTAATAGACATCATTTAATTTAATTTGACGTGAGGTTCAGAACTACACTTTCTTCAATATGTTGTATTGTCAAGGGTCTCATTTACACAGCCTGCATTTCCTGGAGTTTTTGTCCTCTGGATATTTCTGAAATATGTATTAAGATACTATTTTAATTAAGATAATTAATTTATAATGACTTATTCTTATTAATATATAATGTTTGTCAATATTACACACCGCTACATGCAACTGCCCAAAATTTTGAACCTAAAACAAATATTGAAATTTTGAAATTATTTAAAAGATGAAAAGATGCGTTACATTTTAAATTAAAACCGCCAGTAGGTGGCAGCAAGTCACTGTCAATGAGTGAGTCATTTGAGTTTCAACCTCTGATCCATATAATGATGTCTTATAGATCAGTGGTTTCAACCGATTCATTCAAAAGGCCAATTCGCTCAGAAACAAAGTGTTTGACTCTCTTAATGAGTGAGTCATTGAATCATTTATTCAACCTTTACAATCTTTCACCGCTGTGTGTTGCTGACAGATGCAAAATAGTACTGTGGTTTAGTTTGGAACTATTTTCATTTGCTAAATAGAGCAAAAACAGTCTAAAAGTCACTTAATATTAATGTGTATAAAATCTAAATCACTTTTGTAATCATACTGATATTTGGAGAAAAACAGCACTCTTCGTGTGATATTAATTAACTATATTAAATTATAGAAATATAAAAGCCCCCTTATCTTAAATATTGAGGGAATTCTATAATCCAGTAAATGACGCAGTCTAAGTGTGCTAGTTGTGTTTATGTAAAGTGATGGACACACTTGATAATGTCAGATCACATATCGTTAAAACAATAATCATGATATTATTGCACACCCTTGGTTTCTGGAAACTAAACACTTTTCTCTCATGCATTCATATACATTTTAACCTAAAATCTTGCTTTTGATAATCAGTAAATAAAAGTTCATGGACGTGTTATTTGTTCACTACTCATAAGCTCTGTGCTCCCTTAAAAATACTGACAGTTTGATTTATCAGATCTTGTGTCTGCACTGGTAACTGAACGTGTGTGTGTGTGTGTTTCCCGCTGCAGTTCTTGGTGACGTGGCACACGATTGATGCCGATTCTCCTGAGTTGAGTCACATCTTGTGTTGGGCTCCGGCTGATCCTCCCACGGGCCTGTCGTATTTCTCCAGCATGTATCCGCCACATCCGCTGACCGCACAATACGCCGTCAAAGTCCTGCGCTCCTTCCCTCCTGTACGCCATCATCATCATCATCTATATTTCTCTATAGCTCTTTATCTTGCATCATTTTGTGTCTTTATGAATGTATATTTTACTCTCGTTCAACAGGATGCTATTCTGTTTTACATCCCACAAATTGTTCAAGCTCTCCGTTATGACAAGGTAAAGTGTGAAGTGCCCCTATTATGCTAATTTAAAAGTGCCTAGTTTGATTTTTGGTGTCTCTTACAGCTAGTTCACATTAATCCAAGGTCAAACAACACTTTAATGTTCTCATAATCTCTAATGCAGCTCAGTGTCTGAAACGCTTCGATTAAGGATTCCGTCTCTCTAAGCTCCGCCTCTCTGAGAGCTGCTCTGCTCTGATTGGCCAGAAAGCAAACGCTCATTATCATATCTGACTCTCAGCTCTTGATACGAACAGTAACGTTGGCGTGTGTTTTACCGTATCAATCTCATCAGAGTGGATTTGCTTTTGTCTTCTCCACATGAACAACACAAACCAAACTCTTCCAGTCTCAGATACACTACAGTGATTGAGGGCGGAGCTAAGAGGCACTGTTCAGCCAATCAAGACCAGAGGCTGGCATTATGCAAATGAGTTCCAAACCTAACTGAGACTGAATTACTGACGACTCGTTTCAGTTCAGAATCACGTCATTATTTTAAAAGACAAAAACTCTCTTTACTCTCTCTTGACAAAAACTTTACATTCACGAACGGCTCTAATACACATTTCATGAAAGATCAAATCTGAAAACGCATAATAGAGGCATTTTAAACATTTTTGGTCGTCATTACTTGAAATGCAAAGTTATATTTGTAAAAGTATAAATCAAGTTTCATGCATCATTTTAATATTTTGCATATGGAGGCCCTATTGCATTCCCCATTTTCTCTCCCTGACATGTTGATTGGTGTGTGTGTGTAGATGGGGTACGTGAGAGAATACATCCTGTGGGCGGCACAGAAGTCTCAGCTTCTGGCACATCAGTTCATCTGGAACATGAAGACCAACATCTACACCGACGAGGAGGGACACCAGAAGGACCGTACGTCCTCTCCACCAATCAGCTCGTCTTCATCTATACAGCGCTTTAACAATACTGACCATTTCAAAGCAGCTTTACAGTGATTACAGGAAAATAAAGTTACAGAGATAGTTTAGGCTTTACAGCAGATCTAGAATAGAGTTATTGTCCATTGCAAAGATCATTGGTTATTAAGGTTGTGATGTTTATTCTGTGTGTGTTTTCTCTAGCGGATATCGGGGAGCTTCTGGAGCATTTGGTCGAAGAGATCATCGGGTCTCTCTCGGGTCCAGCGAAAGATTTCTACCAGCGCGAGTTTGACTTCTTCAACAAGATCACCAATGTCTCAGCCATTATAAAGTAAGAGTAACCTGCCGTTAGCATCTGGTTGTGTTACGGCAATTTTCACTATTTTCCCCAAAATGCTAGTTAAAGGAGTAGTTCACTTTTAAAAAACTTTTGCTGATAATTTACTCACCCCCATGTCATCCAAGATGTCCATGTGTTTCTTTCTTCAGTCGAAAAGAAATTAAGGTTTTTGATGAAAACATTACAGGATTTTCTCCATATAATGGACTTCAATGGGGTCCAAACGGTTCAAGGTTCAACTGAGAGTTTCAGTGCAGCTTCAAAGGGCTTTAAACGACACCAGACGATTAATAAGGGTCTTACCAAGCGAAACGAGCGCTCATTTAAAAAAAAAAAAAAAAAAAAAGTTTAAGTTTTATAAGCACAAATGGACGTCTTGCTCTGTTCTGTGATGCGCGTTCGTGACTCTCCTGTTCGAACTCGTTTATCAAAATGAACGAACCTTTTTCCGATTCATTTGGTTCACTCAACGATTGAAATGAACGAATTGACTCGGGGAAAGATTCGTTCATTTTGATGAACGAGTTCGAATAGGAGAGTCACGAACGCGCATCACACCCTAACAGAGCAAGACGAGCATTTGAGCTTATAAAACGTAAACTTTTTTATTTAAAAAAAAAAAAAATTATTTATTTTTTAAACCGATCGTTTCGCTAGATAAGCTTATTCATCGTCTGGTGTCGTTTAAAGCCCTCTGAAGCTGCACTGAAACTCTCATTTGGACCTTGAACCGTTTGGACCCCATTGAAGTCCATTATATGGAGAAAATCCTGGAATGTTTTCATCAAAAACCTTCATTTCTTTTCCACTGAAGAAAGAAAGACATGGACATCAATTTTCTTCTCTGTGGGAATAGACAGCGAAGGTTTTGATGTCTAACATCACTGAATGCGGGCTGGCACCTCCTGTTTTAGTCTTGAGATGACACTGATTTTCCTGTGTGAAGCTGAGATCTTCTGTTCCCTGTTTCAGGCCCATTCCTAAAGGAGACGAGCGGAAGAGAGCGTGTCTGCGAGCGCTGTCGGATATCAAAGTCCAGCCAGGTTTCAGTCTCTCTTCATCATCACATCACTCTTTGTTCTCGGCTGATATTACAAGCACTTTTAGTTACAAAACCGTTAATTTGATGTTTCTCAGGCTGTTATCTGCCCAGTAACCCTGAGGCCATAGTCCTAGACATTGACTACAAATCTGGAACGCCAATGCAAAGGTACAATCCCCACTGAAAGTGCCCATATTATGCTGTTTTTAAGTTCTTGGTTTTGTTTTGGTGTCTCCTACAACTGGTTCACATGCATTCAAGGTCAAAAACACTTTAATGTTCTCATAATCTCCACTGCAGCATCAGCTCTTCGATCGAGGATTCAGTCTCTCTAAGCTCCGCCTCTCTGAGAGCTGCTCTGCTCTGATTGGCCAGAAAGCAAGCGCTCATTATCAATCTAAATCTCAGCTCTTGATACAAACAGTAACGATTCTCAGATACACTACAGTGATTGAGGGCGGACCTAAGAGACGCTGTTCAGCCAATCAAGACCAGAGGCGGGCATTATGCAAATTAGTTACAAACCTGAATCAGCAGGAAGTGAGATTGAATTACTGATGACTTTTAGGAGACAAAAACTCTATTTATCTACACTGAAACTTTGCAGAGCTTTCAGATTCAGAAACGGCTCTAATACACACCTCATGAAAGGTGTGTTTGATGGGGTTTAGATGCACAATAACTCGTGTGTCTGTGTGTTTTCCCTCTCAGCGCTGCTAAAGCGCCGTATCTGGCCAAATTCAAGGTGAAACGCTGTGGAGTGAGTGAACTCGAGAAAGAGGGTATGCAAATCATTAATGCACAAACACGGTTATTTCATTCCTGAAGCAAACAGCCATACTTCTGCATCACAGTTTACTAATATTACATCATTGTTAGCAATTATGCAGCCATCGAATGTGAACGATTTTGCCTTTTGTATTATAATAATATTAATAAATAATAATTTTAGGAATTTAAGATGAAAGTCTGAGGGATAATGGTGCTTTTCAATCACGCCGACACAAAGTATGACGTGTGTGTGTGTGTGTAGGTTTATTGTGTCGCTCGGACTCGCTGGATGAAGAAAGCGGAGAGGACGCGCAGAAGATCTGCTGGCAGGCGGCCATCTTTAAAGTGGGAGACGACTGCAGACAGGTATCAGTTTCACTCTGACGTCTCATGTGCTTTGTTTTTGCTGTCCTTTATGTACTTACTGTATTACTTTACATTTTTGGCTATGAAATATGATCGGATGAGCCAACAAACTCATAGCCGTAGTAAAATAGCTGATATATACTGTCTGTATCCACAACTGTGACACACATCATCATCATACACTAATAGGAGAATTTACTGTAATAGTTTGTGAAATAATGTATTGTAGTATGAATATTAACAAAGGTCTGTTTATTGAACATTTGCATCTTTTTAAAAAAAAGATTCTGTTGCATCCAATTCATATGTGATACCTGTTAAAACCCCTAACTTTTCTTTTTTTCTAGTTTACATTGCTTTATTGGCATGACTGTGTTACAGTGTTAGCACATATAAACAGAACAGAAACGTGTGCATAATATGAGTCAGTAGATTTAAACTGTAGATTTTTAGAAAATATTAACAAATTCATTGCATTTAAATATGCATTGTGCTTTAAATCACATTTATCAGATGTAACATATTTAAGTAGTAAAGTGTGGTTTAGATGCGGTTCAGATGTGTTTCTGATTTCCTCCTGCAGGACATGCTGGCTTTGCAGATCATCGGCCTGTTCAAGAACATCTTCCAGCTGGTGGGACTCGACCTGTTCGTGTTTCCATACAGGGTGGTAGCGACGGCACCTGGGGTGAGTTTATTTTATTTATATATATATATATATATATATTTTATATATATATTTTTATTTATTTATTTAAATAATGTAATTTTAATCCAAATTAATTTTTAATCTTTAGTATTCAAATAAATATTATTTTTAATTATTTTGTTTTGTTTTTATTTATTTAAATAGTTTAAATATATTTTTATTTTTATATATTTTTTGTTTATTTGTATTTATTTAAATAATGTAATTTTAATTCAAATTAATTTTAATCTTTAGTATTCAAATTGATAAATTGTTATTTTTTAATTATTTTGTTGTGTTTTATTTTAATTTAATTTTTTGTTTATTTTGTTTGTTTTATTTATTTTTATGTATTTAAATATTTGATATATTTTTTATTTGCATATATATTTTTTATGTTTATTTGTATTTATTTAAATAATGCCATTTTAATTCAAATTAATTTTAATCTTTAGTATTCAAATTAATAAATTATTAAAAATATATATTTATTTATTTATTTATATTTAATATACAGTAGTGTATTAAATATAAATATTTATATATAAATATTAAATATTTATTAAATATATTAAATATAAATATTTATATTATACATACAGTAGTGAAGAACTGAACCGCTGTAGTCCTGGTCTGTTCTGGTCTAAACCGGTCCCACTGCAAACACACAGCCAGACACACTCCGTCATCCATGGTGATTGTGTAACTGACCATCTTTATATGGCTAAACTTAAACAGCTAATAAAATAAGACATCCGTACAGTGTGTGTTTATTGATTGTAAATATCACTGAAGCAGCAGATGATCATTACCTGAAGGGACGAACACAAAACACACACATCTCACTCCCTGTATTGCATATTAATTCCCTTTATTATGGTGGTTTATGTTTGTTTGCTGCTCCTGATGTGATTTACAGGTTGTGAGAGTGAACCAGAGAGAAATGTCGCAGGGTGATGCTCTTGTCTGGAGTTGGCTATTAGTGTGACACCAGCAGTGTTGTGTGTGTAACAGTCCTGTGTGTGTCCCGCAGTGTGGCGTTATCGAGTGCATCCCAGACTGTAAGTCCAGAGATCAGCTGGGACGACAGACGGATTTCGGGATGTACGATTATTTCCGTAACCAGTACGGAGACGAATCCACTCTGGCCTTCCAGAAGGTGAGAAACGCCTCGAATTTGTGTTTCTGTGTGCGTCTCAGTCAGGAGTCCGGCGTCCACTAGAGGGCGTCAGCAGACTTCCACATGATGATTTCAAATCAGACAAACACTGTAAAATCAACTTAAACGACTAAAAAGCCAATTTAATTCAATTTAATTGTAATTTATTTTTTATTTTAATTTTATTTCTCTTTTTTTGGAAATCCAGGATTTCTACAGTCTTGGAAAACCTGTAAAATATGGGGAAGCCATAATTTTAAAATGTTTCCTAGACCTGGAAAATTCATGAAAATTAAAATAATTGTAGACAAATTACTATAGTAATATATTTTATCAGGTAATATAAAAATTAAGTAAAATAAGCTAAAACAACTATAAATCTATGTATTTCGAACTGTATTTTATTTTTATTTTACCTTTTATTAATTTTATTATTTAATTTAATTTTGGAAAAGTAGTTAGACCTGGAAAAATTATAGTATATGAATTGCTCTATAAAATGCCAAGCTCCAATATATCATATCAGGCACTATTGAAATGAAGTAAAAAATCTTTATTTTTAAATCTTATCCAGTAAATAAACGTGTAAAACTCAAGATTGGTTTTAGAAGTGTAACAACCCTGAAAAATGGCTATTAACAATTTGGTTAATTTAATTTAAAATAAAGTAAGTTATATTTATTTATTTTAATTGTAACTTTTTTTAAATTAGGAGTGCCTATAGATTAAGATAATTTTTTAAAGCAAAGCTTTGGGCTAGGCGGACTTCAAATATAGCTGTACATTTACATTTATGGATTTTACGCATTTGCTTTTATCCAAAGCAAAACCAGTTGTGAACGATGAAGGGGCCTTGGAGTCGAGAAACACACTCACACACACTCGCTCTCTCTGCAGGCGAGGTATAACTTCATCAGGAGTATGGCTGCGTACAGTCTTCTGCTGTTCCTGCTCCAGATCAAGGACCGACACAACGGGAACATCATGCTGGACCGACACGGACACCTCATCCACATCGGTGAGAGCTCAAACCATCACACCGCTCTGTTCTGGGTGTATCATGAGTGTTTATCGTGTGTGTGTGTGTGTGTGTGCTCCTCAGATTTCGGCTTCATGTTTGAGAGTTCTCCGGGTGGGAATCTGGGCTGGGAGCCGGACATCAAACTGACGGATGAGATGGTGATGATCATGGGCGGGAAGATGGAGGCCACGCCCTTTAAATGGTTCATGGAGATGTGTGTGCGTGGATACCTGGCCGTCAGGTGAGATGTGTGTGTGTGAACGTGTCTATCAAAAATGGATGGAGTTGATTTCCTGAATGCATTTCTCTGTCACACTGCAGGCCGTACATGGATGCTGTGGTTGCCTTGGTAACGCTGATGTTGGATACAGGGTTGCCCTGCTTCCGCGGTCAGGCCATCAAACTGCTCAAGTGAGTTTGAAGCAACTGTGAAGGAGCAGAATTTTTATGTGCATGCAAATGTAGTCAGATTTATATTGAAAAATATACATTTTTGGATAAATTAAGCAATGGAAGAAGCTTTTTTATTAGTGAAATCAGTACTTTACAAACATTGCAAAGAAATAAACTCAGATCAGTATATGACGATATTTGTTGTCATGGGGAATTAATACGTTTAATAAAATGTAAATTACTGAAAATTATAAAAAATGCATCGTGGCAAGAAAATCTCCGAAAACACTAAAATGACATATTTACAAGTATTTAAGTTTGACAAGTTCTTTCTTAGAAACTGAATCAACTGAACTGATCTGAATAACAACACCGTTGTCTTTTTAGAGCTGCTTTACATCTGAAATGAAGTTAGTCTCATATTTGAGGAAGTTTGCAAGTTATTGTCATGTTTCGTGCTGTATGAATATGAAGCGGCTTGAGATCTGAAGTGAATGGTGTGTTTAGGCAGCGCTTTAACCCTGGAGTGAGTGAGAAGGAAGCGGCGGCTTTCATCATCAAAGTCATTCAGAACTGCTTCCTGAGCAGCAGGTCAGTGTGTGTGTGTGTGTGTGTGTTTACTAGGATTTATCTGAACATATTTTATATGGACATTCAACATGATGCTCAAAGGGAACCTAGAATGTGTTTTGATTTAGTTTTTCCTTTAGTTTAGTGTGTATTATGAGCTGTTTGTGCGGGTAAACACATTCTGTGTGAACCTCTCCAACAGAAAACACTCTCCTGAAATGCCTCATTTGTCGTCTTGCTCTTGTTTCTGTGATTTTCTTATTTCGTGCCCTGTCACCGTGATGCACACTTACATAAACCCAGTCCACTCATTATGGGGGAGTGATTTGCTATGCAAAAACGACGCTGTTTTTTCACTGAGAAGGCAATTTACTGTATTTATATAGCACATTTCATACACAATGGTAATTCAAAGTGCTTTACATAGAAGAAATTAAAATAATCAAAAGAAATAAGAATAATTAAAATAAATTACAATAAAAAAAATACAGTAAATAATTAAAACAAACAATAGTGACGCCGTAAAGAGACAGGAACTATAACAGTGTAGAAAACAGGTGCCGCTGTAACGAACCGAATGAGGAACAATGTGTTTAACTTAAAATCATGTCAATGTATTCTAGCAAAACCCCACAATTATGAGCTAGTAAATGAGAATAATATGAGCACTTTAAAGAGGCCATTATTATTAATATTTATTTTCTTAAAGTCTTGATGTTGTTTTCAGGCTCTACTAGAACAGGTTTCATGCATTATTCTCCATTGTTGCGACTCCTCTCTTCCCAGTCTGTCAGTAACGCTCTGTTCACTTCCTGTCTCTATGAAGCCCCTCCTTTTGAAAAGGACACTGTGCTCTGATTGGTCGGCTGGATCAGTGTGTTGTGATTGGTCGAGCGCTTCGAGTGTGTTTGTGAAATGTCCCGCCTCTTACGATAACCGCCAGTTTAACACACTACTAACTCACTCAACATGGCCCCGCCCCTTTATTCTGCGCATTAATTATTATAATGAGGAATATTGTGACGTGTTCGACTCAAGACTACAATGGAGGCGTTTCAGGAGTTCAGAAACACTGATATAGAGAAGAACTCCTGCTGGAGGGATGAACAGCAACATTACACACTAAAGAGAGATGAACATGTAAACATGTATAAATAATATAGGAATTACATGAAGTGTGTTTTCATTGTTTCAGGAGCAAAACGTATGACATGATCCAGTACTATCAGAACCAGATCCCGTACTGAAGGCCAGAGAAGAGTGTGTGTGTGTGTGTGTGTGTGATGCTATCACACTGCTGTCCCAGTCTGGTGTGTGTGTGTGTGAGATGAGTTTGCATGGATTGATACACACGTATATCAGCACTTCTTCACTCGATGAACTCTCTGCTGCATGATGACTTGAATTATACTTGATTTTATAATTTAAAGTAAATTGTGCCAATTTTGGTTTTATTTGATGTGATTTTGTTTACGGCCTTTAGTATTTTCCAGACGAATCATGTGGTTATTAAACAGCAGATGTTTTTATGGAAGTGGATGGTCTGAATTAGAGACTAATGTAAAATTTTAGAGGTTTTTAGATTTGCACATTATATTGATTGATTATATTTATAGTTCAAATGTTTGCCATCGTGTGAATCTTGAATTCTTTGCTGCTCTGAATTTGTGTATTAATATTTCTGATTTTAAGGTCACATGACCCGAGCGATCACTGCGTGTATTGATCAGTCGATTGTGCAGTAAGTGGCTAATCTTTGTACGCTCGCATTAATTCTCTCTCCTCTCTTTATATTCTCATTCCTATTGGATTATCTATTGTCTGTGATATTTAATAAATGTCTAATTGCTTGTACGCATTTGTAAAGCTTCTTTACTGTGCATGTGATAATCCCAGATGTCAAATGAAGCGGAGCAAGTGTTTTTATTTATTTCAGTGTAAAAAAAGCTTCAAATGTACAGTCAATATCTGTGTTTTCAAGGGGTTGTTCACTGACAGTGATTTGAAGATACCAAAAGTCATTAATTTACTGTAGTATTATGATGTGAGATTACCGATGAAAACACCTTCTAGAATCCAATAAAACAGCATCATTGTCAATGTTATGTCTTTTAGCTCTTCAGTCCATTCATTCACTGGGAGCTTTGATTTAGCAGAAATAAATCAGAAGAGTCAGAAATTTACATTTCTAATTACATAAAGTATGTCAAGATAAAAAAGGTCGTATTACTTATGCAGTAAATAAAAAAAAATAGAAAGGTAATTTAGAAATTAACATGAACCAAAAACTAATTCTTTAAAATATATTAATTCATTCATTATCCCTTTAAAGTGTACTACGTGTTACATGAACATGAACGCTGGAGGCCCATGATGCAGAACCCTGCTGGCGCTGGTCAAAAACAGTCAAAAATGCTGCAGAACCCCGGTGGTGGTTTGAAACGCTGGAGACCCCACATAATAATGTATATAATGTGGCGGTGGTGGTCTAAAAGAGTCAAAAACGCTGCAGAACACCGGTGGTGGTCTAAAACACTTGAGGCCCATGGTGGCGGGATTATTATTACTATATAATAATAATGTGTGTGTAAAAATGTTATGCTTTTATCCAAAGCAGTTTGCAACTTTCTTCTGTGGAACAAAAGACCCCATTCAGCAATCCCAGACCGCATTTAGTTAGAAACTACAGTGGTTTAGACAAAATACAAGTTCAACACAAAAGATCTGTCCAGGACTGTCCTTGGGGTTGAAAGAATAGACTCAGGTAGGTTCATGAAGAATGGTCAGCCGCTTTGGTAACACTTTACTTGAAGGGGTGTGCATAAGATTAACATGACACCTTCATAGTCATGGCATATGTTATGAATATGAAGGAAGTTTTATGCATGTTTATGACAACTGTCATTAAATAAGTGTCATTCACTCAGTTATGACATTTTGAATGCAAATATGACATTGTTTGAGATGTTATGACACCTTGACATAAACCAATACATCATGACTTGTCAGTGTCTTTGTCATGAAAACTTGACATTATTAAGACAACACAACCTGCCATAAACATGACATAGCAGATTAATGATCAAACTTAACAAACCACCTAGCTTTATGGGTTAACATTACATTAAACTGTCAGGTGGTTGGTTTTGACATTGGCTGTCATGAAGCCATTATAACATTTTAATGACAAATTCAATTAGTACCACTGTACTTGAGGTCACGAAAAATATTCATGACAGTTATAATGGCCTCATGACAGCCAATGTCAAAGCCAACCACATGACAGATTAACTTCATTTAATGTCATATTGTCATGAAAAAGACACTGACAGGTTATGAAGTATTGGTATACATCAAGGTGACTTAACAAAGACATCTCAAATATTTGTCATTCATTGCATTCAAAATGTCATAATTGAGCGAATGACACATAAACATGCACAAACTTCATATTCAAGACATATGTCATGCCATGATTATGAAGGTGTCATGTCAGTCTTATGCACACCCCATAAAAGTAAAGTGTTACCAAATTATGACCGTATTTACATGTTTTTGTGAACTGTTTCTTTTGTCTTGATCACATTGCCGCATAGTTATATACCGCAGAACCAACAAGTGCGCCAACAACTTTAATCTTGAATGCCTGAACAATCTTGTTTTCTGATACTATATTCAACAGGTGTGTGAAGATGAAAGATTCACTGGTTTTGTTGGTTGCTGCTCCTGAGGCTACAAAGTACAAACTTCTGCCAAATCTGCCTCGATATACCAGATAAGTCGCTGTTTCATTACTTTAACAGTATTTCATTGACTTTAATAATGTGTTTCTCAGCATGTATGAGTGAACATTGTTTGAGCATTAAACAGGAAGGAGATCATCAAACTAACGAAATTAAATCAGTGATATTTATTTACTGTTATTCTTGTGTGTGTGTGTTTTCTAGCTGACATTGAGCATCTTCTGGAGCAGCAGTTCATCGGTTCTCTCTCGGGTCCAGCTAAAGTTTCTACCAGCACGAGTCTTCAAACTACAGGAGTAATGGTGGGTAACGTTAAGCTAATATGGAAACGTTATTTATCCTACCATGGTTGCGGCAGCATGCGAGTTATGCTGAACTACAAAAGTATAACTCATTTTCAGTCGCATTCTGAGTCTGACAATGTTTTTATCCAAGGCAAGTGTTATTAGCTTGGGGAAATACATCTAGTGAAATGAAATCTTAAGTCAATGTCCAACTCTGAATTGTAAGGAATTTATATCTTTGATTTCATGGTAACACTTTACAATAAGGTTGATTTGTTTATTATTTATGCATTTAGCTAACCATGAGCAACACATGTGTTACTGTATTTGTTAATAATAATACACATGGCAATTGTTTGTTCATGTTGTTTCACAGTCAGTGCATTAACTCATGTTTACCAACACAACTTTTGATTTTAATTATGTTTCACTAAATGCTGAAATTAGCATTAACTAAGATAAATAAATGTTGTAGAAGTGTAGTTCATTATTAGTTCATGTTAACAAATGTAACTAATGAATGTGTACATATCGAGAACTTTAATACAATTTTTAGCCTTCAGTAAATTAAAAAAGCTCAGCTTTGGGAGGGGAAAAGACGGGGTAAGATGAGGAGACCGAGAAAAAAAAAAAGAAAAAAGGGTGATGGAGACGAGCAGAGAGCAGGCATTGACATTGACACATAATCTACTGCCCCTAACATGGTTTTAAAGCTAGGTCTAAAGCTAGGAACAAAGTCGAACATTTTTTGCGCTGAAGCCGCAATGGACTTTATTCCATTGCGCAGAGTTATGAAAGCCAGCAGTATATCAGCTGGAATTCTGCTATTGGAAATCAGATCATACGCCTTCAGCGACGATCTCCAACTCTTCCCTCTTCGAGACCTCAAGAAGAAACCTTTTCACCGTGAAAGAAACCATCGCACCGGACAAAACAGATCCAGCGCGACTAGCTCATCTCACTCCGACACTCGGCGCACGGCACGCAAACAGATCCAGCGATCTCCCCGAGACAACACTGAGCTCAATATGCCATTACTTGCCACTACAACCACCACACTAACCACACCAGCTTTGATACAGCACTGGTTTACCTGTGTCAGTGGTTTGTTTTCAGCTGGATTGCAATCCGTGTCTTCTCCAAAGCTATGGCTGTGTGTAAAACTTTGTTTGACAGCGATCATGATTGGTTCAGGTATACTACACTTGGATGAATTGTTCTCATCTGGGTTTACATGGATACGCCTGACTTCAGCTGTGCACCTGATTGGATCGGGTGGAAAGTCTTTGATTCTGGAGATCAGCGAATATCAGCGCTTGACCAAAGCACATCAACAAGTTGAAATCTGATAAAACATGAAATTAATTATCAATAACAATTGTAAAGATTTTTGTTTTTTGAATACAAATAAAAAATGTACACTTATTTTGCGTTTAGTGTTTTTATTTATTCAAATGACTGAAATAATAATAATAATAATAAAATGACCAGTTAATAGCGGTCATTTGAATGTCTATCTGGAAACTGGCATCAGAAACTACAGCCGTTTGGAAAACAGAAGAGAGAAGATGCTTCATTTTGCGTCATCATGTTTCATCTATCATCTTTAAGAATGAGAATTATGAGGAATTTGATGAGGCTGTTTTCCAGAAATTTCCTTTCCTGAAAGTTCTTGGACCGTTGAGATTCACGTAAAAAAAACACCATTTCACTAGAAATATTTAATTCATTCGCTTCCCTTTTGTCCAGTCCGGTGTGGTGAAGCGTATCGCCGGAGACCGAGTGTTTCATTGCGCGCGAGAGAGAGACCGAGTGTTTCATTGCGCGCGAGAGAGAGACCGAGTGTTTCATTGCGCGCGAGAGAGAGACCGAGTGTTTCATTGCGCGCGAGAGAGAGACCGAGCGTTTCATTGCGCGCGAGACCAAGTGTGTGCGGGCATTAGCCTAATTAATTGCTGCAGAATAATATTTTTAATTATATAAGAGGCATGGAAGTTCGATTTATGGACAACAATAATCAGTACAAACGTCTTGTTTTTAATTAGTGTTTAATGAATGTAAATAATTCGAGCAGATAAACTTTCATAAGGAGGATAAAATAAGTTTGAATCTATGTAGTAAGATTTCATAACTAATCACTGTACCATAACCAGATTTTTCGTTTCTTGGGCGCCAAATAACAATGACTCAAAATCGAGATGTTGTCTGTGCAAGTCGTTTCCATGAGAGCATCAAATGGTTATGGCATCTGTGAGAAAGTTAAATCTGCAAAGACTGCCTTTGAAGAGAATGCAGCAAAATATCTAACTGGCCTGACTGGTATAGCTACGGGAAATGTTAAGGTGTTTTTGTTTTGGGTTTTTTTTTTTTTTTTTTTTTTTTTGTCAAAGAAGTAATAATCTTTAACAAAACGTTTGACATTATTAGACAAACATACACAAATACATGGACACAAAAGACACCAATGCACAAACACTACAGCAGTTAATTTTAATTGGATTTTTAATTAAATATTCGTTAAACTTTCTATTTAATTACATTTTTTGTTGTTGCTATATCACACTGAAGACAACCGTGTCAATTTACTGTTAAAAATAAAGTGATTTCAGCCAAACTGGAGAAAAGCAAAGCAAACAGCTCAAAAGAGACTGAGTGTGTCAGTGCGCAAAAGAAACTGAGTGTGTCAGTGCGCAAAAGAAACTGAGTGTGTCAGTGCGCAAGAGAGACCGAGTGTTTTCGACAGTCCGAGCATAAGTAATTGGTACACAAGTAAGAGGCATGGAAGTTTGATCAATGGACAACAACATAAATAAACAAACAACAACAATTAAATCATTGGCACTGAATTAGCAGGATGTAGCTTGCTTACTTTCTCTCTTTTAACATAATTTTAACACAAGCACACCACTAAATACGCGCAACACTAAATACGCGCAACACTAAATACGCGCAACACAATTCAGCTCTGAGCAGAGTTATGAAAGCCTGCCGAAGTGGGCGGGGCCATCTCTCTATATAACCTGCAATTCTGCTAGTGGAAATCAGATCGCTCGCCTTCAGCGACGATCTCCTA